GCACTACGGTCTAGGTCAAAATCGGGAGTATCACAATATTAAATATTCAACTACGCTTGTTGTTGTCAGTTTAAGTTTTCACAACATCGATTCAATTAAAGCTCTTCAAATTATTTCCTTCGTGGAGAAAACATTCGACTTTTTGCCGCTTAGGGCAACTGTTTATAGCGTTATTAAGGAGAAAGTATGAGGCAGCATTGCTAGATGAGAACAGGAGAAGAATGAACGTTAAACAAAGTTTGTACGCGGTGCATGAAAGCTTGGTCGCAAAGCAGAGGAGAGGAAAGTTAAAAAACAACTTAACATGTTAAAAACAGAACAGAAAAGAATTGCATGTAACGATATTGAATGTCAAAGGAAGATGCGATACAAAGCAGCTCCAAAGCCATCCTAGCGATTCGGTTTTGGCAGTCACTAGTCAGCATTATTGGCTGACGACCAGAAACCCTGATTAGCGTGCTTCATCATGTTTGTGAGAACAGGATCCAATTCAAGTTTTCAGCTATATGTATGGACAATACTATCTATTCCTCGGACTGTCTTTTTCTTCGACTAGTTAAGCACGGGCTACTTTCAACATCTTCTTGCTCATGACTTGTTCATCCTGTTGAGAGGCGTCTACAACGATCATCACATGGGTCTTCTACTGTTTCAACTGATGCAGAAGCGTCCACAGGTCACGAAGACTTTCTCGAGTCACTTGCGATCACAGGCGCACAGTGCCTCCGAGCTCTCTCTCTCTCTCGACGCCAACAAGATTGCATGAGGAAGAAGACTCCAAATCGAACTACCAACTTCTTCAACCGTCCATGGGGGTTAGAATCTTCACTTTTCACCCCACTTTCGTCTGTCGAGAAGTGGATCTTGGAGATCGCCACTCGTTTTCATTGGAGCACTCTCGAGGAAAAACGGTGGCCACTTTGAACTTGGACTTTTTTCAAAGAGTCCAAGAACTGCTGGGACACCACCCCATCAATGTCCTCGTGAGAACAAAGCCATTGATTGCGGGCTATGTAAAACGAAAGGTCCACTTCGGCACCGTCCTTCCTCGGTGCAGCCCCGGGTGCCGACACGCCTTTTCGAGGATGTCGAGTCGATTCGCGGGAGATATCTTCCGTAAATCCGAGATATTTTTTTTGTTGGGTGCACTACGAAATCGTTTATGATACAATGTTTGCTTCGTAAAAAGGTTTGTTCTTTTTTTAAAGTATGTACCGACAATGGCGCATCGAAAAGATTTTCGTAACTTTTCAACGCGAGAGAGATCTTGAATGCACATAATCCGACAAAGAATGTCGAATAAGTGTGAGTGGAATCTGGAACCCACCCTCTCGGAATTGGTTCGTTAGTTTTTGGAACCTTGTAACCCACCTTGCGTACCCTAGAATCACGATCTACTTAGGAACGGGCCAATATCTTTTTTTTTTTAATCTTTTTCTTCATTTTGATTTGCTTCAACTACCATTGCCTTTCTCAATAGACCTTCCTCTAGCAACTAAACGGCCCCATGGTCATTACTGCATTCAAAAGTCAATTATGTACCTAATTTCTGCTTATTTAGAAGACCAGTCTTGACATATTTAAGATCAATAGTTTTTCGACTAACAATCATGGTCTCTCTAAAATTTTTATATGAGGGAGGTAGTGAAATCATCAACAAAAGAGCTTGATCCTCATCTTTAATCTTAACATAAATACTTCTTAATTCAAAGATAATAGTATTAAAATCAGAAATATGAAACTTAAGAGAAGCACCTTCAGCTATATGAAGAATGAAGAGTCGTTATTTGAGTCTCAATTAATTGGCGAGGGATTTTGTCAAAAAAAATACTCCCCAATTTCGTCCATAAACATAAATCTGTTTTTTGATCTAGTACTTTCTGCAAAACTTCATTCGTGATACACAACTAAATAGCGAATATAGCTTTTTCATCAAACCATGTAACCGCCATTCATCGGTTCCCATTTCTTAGGTTCCTAGTTTGATTCTTACGTAAGAACCGAAACCCGAACTGCACAGTACCAATTCCATTTCTTTCGAAATTAGGAACTGGATCAGTAACTTCGCAAATTTGCTATCAGACCGGCTCTTAATTCTTATGGCTGGTCTAATTTTCGATTCTACTCTAAATCCATACTCACCCCTTACCGTCGAATTCGATCGGCCTCACCCAAGATCTATACGAGTCCGCACCGATGGGGGGCGGATCGGATCCGATCCAGTCCCACTCCACTTTCCTCAGGCACACGTGTACGGCCAGGGTTCCTCCTCGATCCCTCCGCTGATCTCGGGTTCCATTTCTTGGACGATCGAGATCGAGGGTCTCATCACGAAGCGGGGCCCATAAAAGACCACGTGTAGGGCCTCTGATCGAGGGAGAGGCCCGCCGCGCACGATCCATCCCTTCCCCTTCGAGTTCGGCCTCCGTGGAGTCGCGTGGTCAAACCCGAAAGCCTAAGAACGGCGTGACTCGCTCCTTCTCGCTAATACTATACCCAGTGAATGCGTCACCGACGACGTCAGCCCACACGTGTATGTGTCTGTGTGTTTGCACTGACATTTCGTCGACACTAAATTTTCCGCACCGCATCAAATGCGTGTCATCAATTCATTCATGGTACCATCCCTAGGTAGACATAGACGTCGGAGCCTATAGGGAGGTGTGCTGTCGTTAACACGTATTCCAAGTTAATTGAGGTTGCTATAATTCCAAAATGATAAAATAAAGGGTTAATACTAAAAAAAAAAAATCTCAAAATTAATACATCCGTGATAAATTTATCGAAAACACCAGTGACAAATTTACTTTTTGTTATTTTCCGTTAAATTTTATAGCTAAATTGATGAGTTGGATGGCACTTGGCAGTTGATGAGTATACTAGTTTAGGGTTTTATCCCTCCGTTTATTATAGGTTTATCGGTTTGTGATTTTTCGTAGTAGTAATCCAATTTAACGGAGGATAAATTTGTTACAGATGTATCGGTTTGGGATTTTTAGTGATCAAAAAATTAGTTTGGGATAAATTTGTTATAAACGAATTAGTTTCGAATTTTTGGTAGGTAAAAAATAATTAATTCGGGGTAAATTTATTACGAGTATACTGATTTGAGATTTTCCATAGCAAAGGCAAGTTAGATCGAGGAAAAATGGGGGGGAAAAGAAAAAGGGAAATCAGTGAGGAGAAAATGACAATGCAACCGAGCTGACGTGTATATTGTTAAAAACTTGGGAAGGAGGAATGAATCTTAGGAGCTAAGGAAAAAGAGAGAGGGGCAACATCGGAGGAGCAACGCGAACTCACGGAAAGAGCAGTGGAACCTCGCTAGGCCGACCTTCTAGAAACCCACGCTGGTAACACACTCCGCTCTGTTAAACTCCCCCCCCCCCCCCCGAGTCATCACTCCCACACGAAAAATTTGGTGAGTCGGACTTTGGCTCGACTCGAGTCCGTCAATTAACAAAAACAAAAGGTGAACGAAAGTTTGAATAGGCGAACCCCATTCTTGGAGCCAAATTGGGATGCTACTGTTAGGGATAGAATTCTCTCGTACCCTTAAGAACTTATGCCGCCCCTCTTGATGAGGTTATGACAGGTCGAGATCAGTTATTGTATCGAAGCGATCCGTTTGTTTGTCTCCTTCGAGGGATCGGGAAACGTGAGCTGAACTGAGCGTGACACGATCCGGTGCGATTCGCCGTTGCTATGCCTAGGAACCATCTTTACAATGAGGGGCCGGGCTGGTGTTCTCGGCTTACCAGGCGCCGCGCGCGCGGGGCTATTTCGCGGCCGAGAAACTGTCGGCCCGTGACGCCAGCGATAGACGGATCCTGCCATTTGGAGCCACGCCGAGATGCTGGCTGTTAGAAAAATGTCTATACACGGATGCATATCGAGATCGAGAATGCAGCACGAGCGATACACACGAATCTTTGTAACCTCGCCGAGAACCGTCGATAAGGTGGGGAATTCAATGAATCTTTTAGTTCATCGAATGCCACGAGCTCGACGTCGAATCCCACGAGTGCTTCTTCCCCTCCAACACCACCTACCCCAACCACAGCAAAATGACCCTCTTGTCCATTCCCCGTCCCCCACTCTCTCTCTCTCCTCTCCCGATGCCGCCACGTCACCGCTCCGCTCCCATCCTCCCACGCGTTTTCGGCCGTCATGGCTCCCTCCCATTGGCTCAGCCACGTTGTCCAAATCCTCTCTCTCTCTCTCTCTCTCTCTCTCTCTCTTTTTTGAAGGATTTATAAAATCAAATCACCTTTCCCCTTTTCAAAAAATTCATTTTAAAAGTCCCCCACACACCCAAAAAAAATTCCACGCGTCCCTCCTTTAAACGACCCGATGCGAAACCGATGATAAGCACGCTGAATTATTCCGTTGGCTTTTGTTACTGATTCGATCGATGCGGGCGCGGGCGGGGGTACGCAATTTCGAAGGAAAAGTTTGGGATTTCCGAGTCCCAGATTAATTCATATATTCGAACCGAATCATTAAAAGGAAGAGAAAAGAAGAAGAAAACACAGTTTCTTGGGGGGTCGTTCAACCCACCGAACTCCAGTGATCGGGCGATCACTAATCAATTAATCGTCCATTACTTAACGCCGAAGGAGAGAATCTCGGGTTAAAAAAAGGGAGCAAAAAACGGGGGAAGAAAATCCCCCCCGAGCCCCGTAAAATCGGACGCGGTTGAAATCCACGCACTTTCCCCTTAAAAACAACGATACCAACTTTGACAAATCCCACGCGCACAAACCCTCATCTCCCTTTCTTTTCACCTCCTTTTGGCCTCCCTTATATAAACGAGCTCCTCTGCTTCTCCTCCTTCCGCCACCACCGCCAGTCTCATCTCAAAGTCAGTCCGTCGGTTCTCGCTCTGTTTTCTGCTCTGTTTTTTTTGGGGCTCTGGTTTTTTTTCCCGCATTTCCACACGCGCGGTCGGTCGGTCGGTCGGTCACTCGCTCGCTCGACACTTCTTCGCTCGAGGACTTTACTACCCGACGAGCGCCGCCGCCGCCGCCGCCGAGCTCCGTGACGGGGTTGCCGGAGATGGAGAGCAATCAGCAGTCGTTCTGGCAGTTCAGCGACCAGCTCCGCCTCGCCAACCTCTCCCTCAGCGACTCCATCTGGAGCAACGACTTCGCCTCCAGGCTCCCCGAGGAGCGTCGCAAGTTCGACACCCGGGTCGGTGGCAAGGTCGCCCCCGCCCGCTCCAACAACGACAACAACAACGATGCCAACTTCAACACCAACAACAATCCCCTGAAGAATCCGCTCGGCGAGCCGCTCGGCCTGCCCAACGACGTCGCCTCGGGCGACTTCAACGGGTTCAACTTCGGGTGGAAGCTCGGGGGGTCCGGCGCCGGCTCGAACCTGAGCGAGCTGAACCGGTTCGACGACGGATGGAAGGTCGGGGGGTCGCGGGTCGACGTCCCCGTCAACGGCGGGTACAGCAAGGCGGCGATTTACGGGGAGCAGCAGCTGGGGTATCCGTTCATCGGCAATTTCGTGAGCCTGAAGGGAGGGAAGGCCAAGATCGAGGGGGGCGAGCACGGGGGCAAGCTGGGGAAGAAGAGCGGGGGCGGGTACAGGAAGAACGGGAGCGACCACGGCAATAACAACGCCAGCGGTTACGAAGGTAAAGAGGGGAAGAGCGACAAGAGGTTCAAGACGCTCCCGCCGTCGGAGTCGCTTCCGAGGAACGAAGCCGTGGGCGGGTACATCTTCGTGTGCAACAACGACACCATGCAAGAGAATCTCCAGAGACAGCTCTTCGGTATGTCCCATGTTTTCTTTTCGATGACATTAATCTCATCTTTAATGTGCTGCAAATCTAAATCCGATGGTTTGGCAACTCCAGTCATCTTTACGGGTGATTTTAGCTAATTGCGAATTGTAACAATTGTTTTGAGTTTGGATCATTGATGGTTCTGATGTCTTATGTTTCTTGTTTTGTCTTCTGATGTTTTTTGGCAGGCTTGCCTCCACGGTACAGAGATTCGGTGAGGCAGATAACGCCTGGGCTTCCTCTGTTTCTGTACAACTACTCCACCCACCAACTCCATGGCATTTTTGAGGTTGGTCATCATTACTTAGTATGTCGATCTTGTAAACCACGCTTTGTAAACATAACATTTCTCTTACTTAATTAGCAAATGAGGGCAGGTTGTTGAGTTGACGAAACTGTGAAGTGAACTAGAAAAGAAGCATCTTTGGTTCGGGTTGAATGATTTCTGAAGTTGCTTATCATGGAATTCAATGTGTACAGGCTGCTAGTTTTGGAGGGACTAACATAGACCCGATGGCCTGGGAGGACAAGAAATGCCCCGGCGAATCGCGCTTCCCCGCTCAGGTATTGCCCTTTGATCATGCCATTCGTGCGTAACCGGTGCTATAAATTTGAGTGTCATATGGTGGTTAGGACATGGATAAGGGGGCTTACTTTAATGTTTCTTCATCTGGGCAGGTTCGAGTGATCACGAGGAAAGTTTGCGACCCGTTGGAGGAGGACTCGTTCCGCCCGATCCTTCACCACTACGATGGCCCCAAGTTCCGTCTAGAACTGAACGTGCCCGAGGTAATTGAACTTCACCCATTCTCTTTGTTTTTTAAGCAGAATTTGTACAGGAGATGTTCATGCACATGGAATTGGCAAATTCTTATATACATGCCTAAGTATGTGAATTTGGGGAATTCATTTGCAGGCGCTGTCTCTCTTGGATATATTCCGGGACCAAGAACCATGAAAACACCAACGAACCGAGCACTTCGAGGCTTGGAGATACAGAGCTGATCCAAAGAAATTAGGAAACAGATAGTGTCGTACCTACTATGGAGGCGAGAAGAAGGATGACACTTTGTCATGTTAGGAAAACTTGCAGAAGTATAAAAGCTGTCTTGTCTTTGGGATGTAAATTTTTGTAAGGGCGGTTTGTTTACTTATTTTGCTCTTTGTTCCCTCAGTTTGGATGATATATAATAGGAAACAAGCACAGAATTTGCCAAAACAGACTTTTATGAAGGTTAAGATGAGAACTACTCACTTTAGTAGTCTCAAGGCTAAAATGAGACTTTGTTAGTAGAGACCACTTTGGTTTATCTTGGGGTTTCTGGACCGGATATGAATCTCGAGCTATGAAACATTTGGTTATCTGGCTTTGAATTAGCTATAGAGTTATAAGGTGAAATGAGGGGCGGCGAGGAGCTTCTTGCAGAGCTCGAGTTCTGCTCTGCTCGATCTTGCCTGGTGTTCTGTCGGGACCTGAATGATTCACTCGCCCCGAACCTCGATGTCCTGGGACGGGCCCGAGTGATTCCGTGCTCTGAACCTCCTGATCTAGGTAAAGGGTTTCAATGTATAGCTCGGAAGAATCGAATTCCTAATATGCCTGCGAAAATTAGTACTCTTCGGATGTAAATCGCACCGCATGGTTCGCAAATCGCAAGGGATTCTAGGCCTTGTTTGTACCCATCGATTGGAAATCCCCATTTTGGTCTTTGATTATGGAGATCGGACATGACCTCGAACTTATGGACGACTATTTTAACATCGAGCTCCGGGGAATTCTCGATCACGGAATATGAACAACAATGCTAAGAGATATGAAGCTTACTGATTGAATTGATTTTCAAATGATGCGGGGCTTCGAATAGACATTTCTGTGCGTTTATCATCCGTGTCACTCAAGCATGAAAGGGGGGGCCTTGTGGAGCTGTGATTATTGCACAGTTCTACATGATTGAGCTTTGCTGTTCCGGGACATCCTATGCAATCACCGAAAGTGGTTGGGAGTTTGGTGCAATGGTTGAGAAGAAAACAGTCGATTCAGCAACAGCAAGCATCATTGTTGGTTGTTATTATTATTGTTGTTATCAGGGAAGTGGTTAGGCCATCAGTTATGGCCAAGTTCCAAAGCTTGAAGCCAAAGTGATAAGGGGGTGGTGCCATGCGGCCATCAATCTTGGACACATTTCTTCACCTACGCAGCTTTGACTGCTTCAAACGCGAAACCCTATGGTCACAACAATTTCTACCTAACGTTTTGATGTTTCTCGTCGCCTCCTTTGCATGTGATCCCCGCCGCGCGGCCTTACGACGCAAGCAAGCCCGATACCGCATTTTCAACACATCACCAAAAAAGCACTGGGCTTTGAACTCGTTCGTACTGTATCGACTTGTTATGGGCCAACCGGATATTGTAACTGCTTCACATTATATCAATTCATGGATGTGCGATTGCTGCTTTCACTACCCTCACGTGTATACCTCAACACGTAAGAGACAATAGGATTTTAATCTCCCCATTTGCGACGACGGGAAGACTTATTTTAGGTAGGCAAACGGTAAACCTCAAACCCGCACTTTTTTGTTAATCTTTTGCTAGGGAATGCACCTCATTGATATGTGCATCCCTATACCCCAATCATCTATAGATGAGAGTCGCATCTCCCGTAGCCTTCTTCTCAAAGAGGACTGGCTCCTAGGTTAATGTCTAAGTGATTATGATGACCATTGGAGTCAATATAGATTTGGTTACTTAGTGCAAAGGAAAATTTTCGATATGGTTATTGTGATGTGTTTCATTCTGTCCACATGAATTTACCCCGAAAGTTCTAGAGCTTTTTGTGAGATTTGATTTCTCCACAGGAGTTGGACAAGATAAAAACGCTGTCCAAATTCATTGAAGCTAGGGTTTACTTTTCATTCATGAAGGAGAACCTTGTGGAAATGCAAGGGAAGAGAAAGGTGGAAATAGAGATGAAAGAATTGTGCGGTCCGTACTTTTAACAAATCGGAATCTTTTTCAGTAAATGTGTTTAATAAATGCTTTTAGGACACTAGTTAAGATAGTTATTTTCACGGTATTTTCAAGGGGATTAATAAATTAAGATTCTGATCTCCTTTGTGCACTCGTTATGCATCCGAATAAAAGAATACTGCAATCGCCGGCGCACCTACCATCTTTGTAACGTACGCAATCAAACACTTTGAAAATAAAAAAATTCCATCAATAGATGTAGTGCCTAAATTTGCAAAATCTAGATCATTGGTGTCACGGGCTAAGTTCTGTTGTCGTGGTGCCGTATAGAGTAGGTTGGAGGCATTGAACCTGGCAAAAAGAGCAGACCATATGGAGAGGGGAGGTGAACTTCTTTTCTTTGTTAATTTGTATTTATCAAAGACTTTGTCGAGAGTTGTTGAAAGGGCAAAGAACATCTTTACTCCTGCTTTGTTCTTTTCTTCCACTCTTCACATGTCGATGTTTGAGGCCTAGTAGTTGACTGGTTGGTCGATGAGAACAACTGTAAGGCCTAGTTTAATACCATTTGCTTAGTTGCAAAACTTAAGTGTGATTGGTCATCCAATCAGTGTCCATCCATCACTCTCTACTTTGGCAGAACAAGTTAACCACAGAAAGTTGTAGCTTAAGTTTAGACACGTTGGGTGCGTTTTTTGCAAAAGGGGATGTAAGAAATTGACAGGATCTTGTTATAAATTATAAACATGGCTTAGCAGGACGCAAAACCGGATGGTTGAATATCAATATACGGCGTTGAAAACGATGTGTAGCAAAGACAAAATGGTTTATACAATGCGTAGACGCGATTAGAAACGAGATTATTATAATGATGATGGGTGTGACATCAATGGAAGTTAATATGAGTGGGTTTTCGATAAGGTTTTAGTAAGTGGGGACGATAATCTTGGGATGTGCTATTAAGAGGAAGCCATTATAAGATGAAGAGGAAAGAGCTAAAGAAGACGTGAAGATAGAAGATAGAATGTTCAGGCTTCAGAATTTTTTTTTAAAACTCGAACTTTTGATGGGAAAGACTTAGGAAAGGCAATGGCATTTCATGGGAAATATAATCAAAATTAAAAATTTAGAAGCTTGAAAGTTGTAAAGCTTTACCACCATCTTTCCTCTTTTTTTTTTTTTCGTAATGTAACGATTAATCGCATCTCGCACCAACTTTTACTTATCAAATTAAATTCATTCACATTTTCAGTCCGGTCAAAGACTTCACATTTTCAGTCCTGTCAAAGACAGATCATTCATGTTAAGACCGGGGCTTGGTTTGGAAAGTGAGGGAAAATGGGAGGAATGAAAATTATGTGGAAAATTTTGAAAAATCGATTTTTTTTTTGGTGAGATAGAAGAGGACAAAAAATTCGAACTTTCGATAACTTTCCTTGCCAATTTTCATCACCTCATGCTCCGAAGCAAAGCATAAGGATTTTACGAGGAATTACTTCATTTCATTTACAATCGTATTCTAAATAATTATGCAAAGAGATCTCACGCCTCTAGAGATGCAAGATCCTCGACTGTTTCACTGCTCGATCAGTAGTACCACCCGGGGTTCATACATAGAACCGTCCTCCCGTGAACTCGGCTGCCTTTGTTGATCTAGAAGTAGTGGAGCGGGCTACACGATCCAAAACCCAAAACCCCCCAGATGCAATTTTGCTGTTCTGGTTTTGCTCCATCAACATTCTTGATGAACAGGTTCTGCAAACTAGTCGTTGTGAAATTGATGCACTGAACCTGCAGCATCCAACTGACCCTTTAAATCAAATCACTGACACCTCTTCCTAAATTTAAAAATTTACTGAAACCGAAAGAAATACAATAATCACAAAGCAGCAACAAGTGAAAACCGCACCTCCCAAGCCACGGATTTTTGTACCGGAGTGAAATTTCAGCATATTTAACTGTTCTCTTTTGGGTACATTCCAAGAAAAAATAGTGTTCAATTTAGTCCCCCCATTATTGAATTCACAATTCCACCTCCTTTCTCCTATTCTTTTGTCCCCGGGATCACCGCAAAAACTTTACCTTTAAAATGCATAAAATAATGGACACAACGGTCTTCAGTCACATGGCGCCTCCAGTTTGTTTTCAAAAAAGGTTTTAAGGACTTTGAGTGCCTGTTCTGCCCTGAAGCCCCCGTTAACTCTCTCTACCTGCTCTCTCCTTTTCGAGATTCTTCAGTTTAAATACAGGGTCACTGACTTTTAATCCCTTTGTGTAAAAAGTTGCGGAGGGCTTGCAACTTTTTGGCTACATGGGGAATTGCTCACTCAAAGGGGATGCTGGGAAGAGCCCTCCCAAGAAGAGTGGCAACTTCCGGGTGCTCACCGATGCCGGGGTGATCGTCGAATTCCAGGGCCCCAAGATAGTCCAGGACGTGCTCGATCACTACCCTGGGTACGGCTTGTTCAGGCAGGGCTGCGCGTCGTCTCGATTGCCTTGCGACGAGCGTCTTGCTGGCGGCAAAATGTATTATCTCCTTCCGCTCCGGAAGGAGCAAGGGCAGGAACGAGACATGGAGGTTGGGCGGGAATTAGAGGCGAAGGAGGATGTCAGCCCCGCTGGCTTGGAGGGGAGATCTTTGGGTGCTGGGTTGGATCTCGTCGAGAAGTTCGCTGGGGGGCTGGGCCCGGCGATGGAGGTGCTGCCACGGGATGGGAATGGGATGTGGAAGGTGAAGCTGGCGATGGATACAAAGCAGCTGGAGGAGATACTGTCTCAGCAGGTCAATGTGGAGGCCCTGATAGAGCAGATGAGGATGGCCGCGAGTTCGGCTTCTCTCCCGCCGAAGAGAGCAAAGGGTTCATGGGCGGTCGGTTGGAAGCCAGCTCTTTCTAATGTGTTCAAAGCTGGGTTTGATGATGGGAAGTGAAAGCAAGCAGAGGGTTTTGGTTTGAGAGCCATCTCTAGTTTGGGAAGGATTAGGGAAGGTGTAGTGAGTTACTTTTATGTGTTAATGTGAAACGGCATGATATGTCTGATTATCATGCGTGCATATACTGATCTTTTAGCTTGACTTACCATTCCAATTTTGGTGGCAAAATTGTACTCGAAGGATCTGGATTTTGGCTTCTTGTCTCTATAATTTCTTGACTTTCGACCTTCTCTTGTTCCAAAATCATGCACCATATGCACTATTGTTCCCTATAAAAGATGATGGACAAACATAATCGCTGATCATTATCGATGTCCTCACCACATAAACGACTCATCAATCGGATTGGGGGCTTCTGGCCAGAAATGCATTCACAGAATGCTAGCTTGAAAGTGAGGTGAAGTTTCAGAAGATTTGACACTGTAGTTTCAGAGCTGCCAGAAACATTAACCAAAATGCACTGGAGGTGGAAGGCATACGAGAATTCTTAATACGATTAGCGAAACCCAAATCACTGATCACTTAATCGAAAGCAATGTTAGTAGATCCTGAATTCATATAATCTCGGTGGTTGCTGAGCTAATAAATAAGTCTAATGCTGCAGTATTATGATGAAACATGGTCATTCACTTATTGAAAATATGAGACAGCACCACATGTATCGAGTTGATGCGAAATTTGACATCAAGAAAACAACAAAACCCCACAATGCAGAGCTGGATCTTGGTTAAGATCACACAACTCAAAAGGTTCAAAAGGTTGAAGCTCTACGATGGGGCCAGTGTATTCAAAGGAAATCATCTCTCACATGGAGTTTGACTCCATCTTCTTGACGGCTTTCTCTATAGCAGGCATATTCTTTCTCAGGACAGACCATTGTTCCTCTGTCAAGCTTATGCCTGAAATGCGATAAAATAACAATTGTAAGTTTAATACCATGCATAGAAAGAAAACTATGAGCAGGACAGGTCTTTTATTGCAAACTTGCAAGCATTAAGCGATGATCGCACTAGCGTATGAGGACACGAATGGAAGAAAAAGCAACTCAGAATGATCCAATTATATAAATTAAGTAGATTGAACCATTTGGATCGAGGTTCCTCCTTTTGGATACTGTTACCATCTCTTAGAACCCTTGTCTCTCATATAGGAGCTATAAAGCCATGAAGTTTAAATAGTCTATTAGACCGGAAATGGAAAAGCAGCTTTCTTTTTCAAACATAATCACTCAACACCTTTGGGCAGTGTCTCAAATTCGAGGGGCTTGGAAACTTCCATCTGTGGAGTGAAGGTTGCAGTGAGTAGTGTTATGAGAATCTCTTTTGCTACTTGAATCTACAAAGCAAATAAAAACAAGAGGTGCATCGTTTTTCTTATGTGATACTAATTACCATGGAATCAAACTCCAATCTTCGTAATCACCTAAGCTTTACTCTCCCGCCTACATGATACGCAAGGCTCTATCAAAGCAATCTACATGGTACATGTGATAGAAGTGAGAATGACCAAGGCTTGTCACTAAAACATGATGCAAGACCAATACTAAAACATTGAAAAATAACTTGATCCTGAAGCAGAGGTAAGGAGCACATAAAGATGACAAGATATTGACGCTTCAGTGTCATCACCCCACATCTCAACTGCACGTCATCAAGGTGAATTCTAATGTCAAAAACTCACACAATAGCAGATATCTGGTTAAGACCTTTAATTATGTCGACTACCAACAATTTGAAGCGAATTGGTACACTGCAGTAGTTACAATTAAGATGCAGCAATCCAATTCACAGGGCTTGGGTATCACCAATCCTCATCCTTTTTTCCGAGTCGAATGATTCAAAAACACTCTAGAGCAGAGATGAAATTTTCCACCTTTACCAGTGAGCTAATTGTCCAATAGATTCAGTACCAGTTCCTTACACTCCTAGCTCCATATATCATTATCTTATGTTTGCACTATCAAGATTTTGGAGGCAATTGAATATCTTTTCTGTGGTTTAATTCTTATTCCTCATCAGAAAGCGCTGTGCTGACAACTTATGAACCCACTCGAATGCCAATCCGACAGGTTATTAAGTTTCACCGATAATCCCTTCTAATGCAGCCATATTGAGAAGTCAAAGATCAACTTTAGTCTTTTCCCCTATCTAGGCAATATAACTATTTACCTTGCAATGCTTGTGAAAAAAGGGCAAAGTAGATACAAGCATAAAAGAGGCAATCTCTAAGATGTGGAGCAGAAGAAGGCGAATAGCTACGAGCAAGAATTTACCTTTTGAAGTAGGGAACTCCTTGCCTCCCTTCTTGAAATACTCCCTAATTGAGACCAGGGGTTTGCCTCTAAACTCTTGCATAGTCACCTTTCTCTTTTCAGATAACTGCATCGAAAGAACCAAAGAATATCAGCGATGATCAAAGCAAAACAAGCCACCGACCTTCTCTCTTAAGCAAATACCCATCATATCAAAGTTTTCCCCATTAAAGTCAGAACAAAATCCATACTATAACTCCTAATAACTTTCCAAAGATTCGTTTTTCATTCTCAAGTTGGGGATATCATTCGTTTAACCACAATTAGTGACCACTGAAACCTGACTACATTGTCATTAAAAACATTAAACGAAGATATATCAAGACGAATCACATGTGTATAAAGAACATATAAATCCTGAATGTGCAATATTTAACACCCCTCCCACGTGCAAGTCGATTAGACGGAAGCTGCACATACGGAATATACTGAGACACCACCTGGCAGTTTGTTTTGACATTATCTAATCCAAAAGTTTAAACTTTTAAGTGGAGATTACATGCACACGTAGACAAGCGATCGGGGAATAAGCTTCTTATTGGTGGAAGGAGATCACGTGTATAAAAAGATCATAGAATTCCCAAATGTGCAATATTTAAAACCACCCCTCTCACGTGCAAGCCGGATTAGACGGAAGCCGCTCGTGCGAAATATACTGGGACGCAACCTGGCGGTTTGTTATGATATTATCCAATCCAAAAGTTCAAACTTATACGTGGAGACTACATGCAGACGTAGACAAGCGATCCGGATACTTTGATAATCTGCACTAATTTTCTACTATGCAGTGGATCATATAAAACCCTAGATAACCAAAATCGTTCTCAAATTCTGCAATCCATATCCCTCCACACACGCAACACATCTAAAATTCCTACAACAAATCACCACATTTGAACCTCTCTTCTCTGCTCTCACGAACTTACAGAAAAACCCAACAACAGCAATTGCAAGAAAAAAAGGGCGTAAGAAAAAACGAAACGCAGGACCAAAGGAAAGGAACAACCTTGCAGATGATAAGGTCACCGTCCTCAGTATACTCAGCATCCCCGCCAGATTTCTTCCCTGCCTCCTCCTCCTCCTCCTCCTCTTCTTGCTCTTCCTCTTCCCCCTCTTCCTCCTCTTCCTTCCCCGCCCCGTTCGCTGCTTGATCCTCCTTCGCTTTCTGCTCTTCGAGGAAGGACTGGACGACCCGCCTCACGACCGCCTTGAGCTTGGGCTGGGACAGGTCCATTCCGAGCCTCTCGGACGCCTGCTTCCGCACCTGGTACTCGGTGGTCTTGTTCATGTCCGATTCCTCCAGGACCTCGCGCACCGCCGTCGCTATCCTTCGCTCAACGTCCGAATCCATGGTTGGGTTCTGCACCTCCAAACCTGAAGAATTTCTAAGCTGTCGAGAAAGTGGAGATAAAAGAGCGACCTTTACCAATTTAAGGTACGAGGTTGAGTAGAGTTTACTTGCCCAGTATGGAAATTTGGGTGCCATTTATGTCAAACTATGAGAAAAAAAAACAATTTTTCTTATTTTGCTATCTAAAATAATGATTTTGATGTGACTGGGGAGTGTGTACTTGTGGAAAGTTCGTTATTTTTTGCAGATTCAAATCGAGAAAATGAATTTCTGATCCAACAAATGGAGAGAGAGAGAGAGAGAGAGAGAGAGAGAGAGGCCAAAAAGTTGGAGGCCAAAAAAAAAAAAAAGTTGTGTTGAGAAAACAATACCCAAAAGGGGTGAGGGTCATAAATCACATCATATTCCATCTATAGAATCAGAAAACATTTTAATTATTGAAAATCTATGGTAATCTTAAAAAGGCTAAATGGAAAAATAAGACCATCTTAAAATATTATATTGTTTTTATCGAATTTTTTTTGGGGTCGAAATCGAATTTGAGATGGTATACTTGTTGGTAAAAACTTCAACTTGTCCAACCCCCTGAGAATTTTTTGCAGCTTAATTCCCAGCTGAAATTAGCCTAAATGGTTGGTTAGTCGACATAAGACCCGGTTAAGGCATAATCCAAATTGAAAACAAAGGAAATTCAAGAGAGAGAGATTATATAGAGATTTAGATTAAGTGAGATTTATAAACTTTTAGCTATATTAACGGGTTCATTCTATTGCTGGTTAGAGAAAGCGCTTGGCATATTGCGCTTCCTTTCAAAACATACTGGTCTAAAATTGGTTAAGCATATGTCATTTGACTTAAATAACAATCTTGCCAAGTCAGACTGATTTTCACATACCCTTTGCACTACTCTTTTCTGCTCAGTGGGATTACACACTTTCTTCACTTTCCAATCCAGACAACGCCACAATTCACACGAGCAAATGCCATAACCTCATGTAGAATCGACATTAACTCAAGTCAAAATGTTTAACACCTACATAAGCTAAGTAAATCGGGCACAACCGATGCCATCGGTAGGAAGTCCACACGCATAAAGATCAAAGTAGAAGCGTAGCAATAGAGCTACCAGCATTGGAATAATCAAAACTAGAGCTGGAGAGACTGAATATATAAGCCATGTAGGACATATAGTTCAATAAAACTTAAAAGCACCATTGATATCACGATCCCCGTATTTTCAACCCATATTTGGCATATCACATAGCTCTCATTCGATTCACGCCAAACTTGACCGGTAATGTTCATCCCTCAAATCGAATCTCATTGCTATCATGTATGTACTTTCATAATTTGAGCAAGACTATACAGAACAGAACAAGAAGAAACACTGTGATATGGATGGTAAAGCAAGACAGCCTTCATGTACCAGACTCACCCATAATAAGGTTGGGGCGAAAAAATTATGGAGTACCCCTCGACAAAATCATAGATAGTTTTTCCTTTTTTCAAATCCTTTCTTCCTACAGACTAGTTACCACTATTGCTCCAGCAACCGAGATTATGATCTTCATCCTCGCCAACTGACCACTCATCCATTTACCCATGAATGTTTTGTTGATCCACGTCTCCATCAATGAGCATCACCGAGCTATGATGGTGTACCATGTACCACTGTCCATTATGAAATTCAAAGACATTTGTCACGTTAAAAGGCCCAGTATCCATATCAACAAAAGTTTTCATGGTGACCCAAGCCATGTCTGTCAGCACTCGGACACGAACGTCGCGGACCTGGAAGTCAACCCCCTGATCCCAGTTAAATGCAAGCTGCCAACTTTGTATCACAGCATTATACCTGTAAAAAAGTGTCAGCCACTTCCAATTCTGTAAACTATGGGTTTACCACCCCTACTAGAAAGGAGATACGACCTAGGCTTGAATTTGGTCAAACAGCTAGAAACATGTACCGAAGATATAAGGAACATCAAGATGTATAATCTTGACCAAGAAAAGGCACGAGATAACAGATGACATCATTAAGCTCAAAACACAGAGTCTACCCTGATGTTATGAATTCAGATTGAGGTGCACAGCACAACCGCGTAGCGCGGTAGATCAGATAAGAGCCTGAGCAGTCATGAGAAGCTGACTAGGAAAGCTAGCAAAAGGTTAAGCTATCAGACCAAGGTAAGTGAATGACGAAATGCCTTCTCCAAATGGAAAGACTGGGACTGACACAGCGAACAAACTTAAAACACAACAAAAAACTCACATACACAGGGAAAAGAAAACAAAAAAAATTAACAACAAGCACACATGTCCCCACCTCACGTCTCTTTTATTAGTGACACCATCCACGAGGACTAATAAGAAGTTCTCAACATTAAAGAAAAAGAAAACAGAACAAAAGCATGTGTTTGATTAGAGGAGACTTCCAATCATTGCTTTCAATATATACATGAGAATATTTGAGAAATAAATTTGGCGGTCTCCCTTGCTTCTTCTCAACTTTCTGGAATAAGACATCATTTTTCTGAAAACTAATTATGACATAAGTTTTTTTCCATGTTATCCAGCAGAAAGAAAAGGAAAATAAGCATTTTCCAAAGATGACAAAAAAGACCAGCTTTTTAGATATCATGCTCCGCGAGTAAGATAATGTACAAACGTTTCAAACAGTTGTTTCCAACTGAATAAGACTATAAGATACTTCACAAATATTGCTCTATTTCTACGTCATCGAATATCCATCATTCACCGATATGACTTATTGGGCTATATTGACCGGTAAAGAGAGACACCCAACCTTCATAACAACAGAGTGTGCCAGCTCTAAGACTCCACAATCCAAGTATTAAACAAATCTCAACACTCGTTGGAATTCTGAAGACATAGACAGAAATTCTTACCCAGAAAAGAGTTCCCCTGAAGCATGAACACACTTGACATAATCTGCATTGAGCCAAAGGCGGCTCATTGATTGAAGGGACCTTTCTCTAATAATGTTAAAGAAATCTGAATTAATATTCACAATAGCCCTTGTAGCCGCATAGTAGGCTTTCCACCCATTGACTGGTGTGACGCTATCTTGTTCCAGAGTAAAATCCTGAAGAACTAAAGAGAAGGCATTAATATTCGAATAAAGCAGAAAAAAATTCATTTTGCCGAAGTTTAACTTTGGTAGATGAAAAAAAAAGTTATAAGAATAAATTAGGCACTTTCCATCAGAATTAAAAAAACCAGAGATCAAAATATATACTCCAATAAATCTGCCACTCCTGAAACCTTTGCACAAAATAAAGTTCAGATCACATCATTATCCTTCAGTTAAACCCTAAACCCTAAGCAATTATATAAAGTTTGAACAAGAAATAGAGGTATCTGTACAGCAAGAGAACAAAAGCATATGCAAGTTCTATTGCAACAAGTCGAACCAATAGGAATGTATGATGCCATAGTCAATGCTGCTTTTATGGTTGAAACTTGATTGCAAACATAACAACCAACCAAAATCGCGGAGCGCAACTCTATCAACTACTTTCCCTCATTTCGTCAAAATGAACAAGATTATGAGCATATGAAGGACATGAAAGGTAGGTGAACCAATTATACAAGCCACATTGTAAGATATAATTGTATACATCACATCTTAGATTGCCATTGCTAAGTACTAAGAGAATTCTAAAATAACCCAACAGCAAATAGTTAGTGCAATATCTATAAAGCATGCGTCCATCTACTCACGAGAAAATATTGGAATTTACATTAATAGGTACACGATAGAATTTTATTGAGTAGCATAGAAGATAAGAGAAAGGATGTATCACCCCCCTAAAACACCCGTCATACTAATACATTAATGCCTTCTCAAACTTGCAGAGCTGTGACGGGGACAGATGGAGAGACCAAGAGGATGCGGATTCCCCACTATACTCCCAACCCCATATGATGCGTGGAAAACAATCAAACAAAAGCAGATTTGCATGGATACACTTAAATGTTTTGACATAAGTTAGAATGTACAGGTTTATCGCTAGTATATTTCGTACCAATAGCTACGGCATTTTCTATAATGAAATGACGTGATAGCTATCTCTCGTGAATGATAATTCTCCTTCTAAATCACTAATTCTCCTAACTTTACGTACTTCTCTAGTGACTTCAATTTCTTCAAGAAGTTTCATAATTTCGCAGTAACGCCTATAGGAAAATTATCATTCACGAGAGATAGCTATCGTATATGGTATTGTAGTTTAGTTTTTCTCCCACGACGGTAGTCTTTGCTTTCTTCCGTGACTTGGGGAGGAAAGGCTTCATTCCGTTATCAGGAGTTTTGTTATCATTTGGTAGGCGTTACTACGAAATTAAGAAACTCTCTAAGGAAATTGATGACATTAGTGAAGTAAGTAAAGTTAGGAGAATTAGTGATTTAGGAGGAAAATTATCATTCACAAAAAAATAGCTATCAAATATGGTATAATAGTTTAGTTTGGCTCCCACTATGGCGGTCTTTGGTTTCTTCCGTGACTCGGGCAAGTTTCTTAATTTCGTAGTAACGCCTATCAAACAATAAAAAAGCTATCGATGATGGATTCCAAGTCATAGAAGAAACCAAAGACTGCCGTAGTAAAAGCAAAACTAAACTATTATACCATGTTTGATAGCTTCCTCTCACGAATGATAATTTTCCTCTTAAATCACTAACTCTCCTAACTTTACGTACTTCTCTAGTGTCATAAATTTCCTTAGGAAGTTTCATAATTTCACAGTAATGCCTACCAAACCATAGAAAACTCCTCAAAACGAAAAAGAAGCCCTTCCTCCGCACGTCACAAAAGAAACCAAAGACCACCGCAATAGGAGTAAAACTAAAGTAATATACTATAATGATAGCTATCTCTCGCGAATGGTAATTTTCCTTCTAAATCACTAATTCTCCTAACTTACATACTTCTATAATGTCATAAATTTCCTTAGGAAGTTTCTTAATTTCATAGTAATGCCTACCAAACCATATAAAACTCTTGATAATGGAAAGAAGCCCTCTCAAGTTCCTAAAGGAAAACAAAGTCTGTTATAGTGGGAGCAAAACTAAACTATTATACCATATTTGATAGCTATAGGAATGATAATTTTCCTTCTAAATCACTAATTCTCCTAATTTTTCGTACTTCTCTAGTGTCATAAAAGTCCTTAGGAAGTTTCTTAATTTCGTAATGATGCCAAACCATAGAAAACTCCTGATAGAAACCCTTTCCTCCCCAAGCACGGCAGAAACCAAAGACTGCTGTTGTGGGAGCAAAACTAAACTATTATACCTCATATCATAGCATTAGCTGCACAGGATTATTGAGTAAACAAAGGGTACAAAGTCATAAATTCTTGGAGAAACCATGGCAGGTTCCAACTCCTAAGAAAACTACAGATTCTTGTCAAAGTTCATACTTTAGCACCAATTCGAAACTCTTCTCAGCTTACATTTTGAGAGCAACCACATTCAGAAACCCAAGCAACGGCATGCTATAAAGAACAATCCAACAGCAAATACACATAAATCCAATTGCCAACACCAAATTCTACAAAACATCTGCGAAGCCGAACCAAACCTCACCTTATGATAGAGCGCTTTCCAGGCATTGTCATCATTAGCCGCCTTCCGCATTAAGGAATTAGTCATCGAAAGCCGGCACAAGCTCGGGTAATCGAGGTAACTCAGCGCGTGCGTCGTAATCTCCGGCACGAGCTGTTCCATCATCGAAGCCCCGCTCTGCCTCTCCGCCGCCGCGGCCGCCTCCACCACACCACCCCCGTTCGCGTACGTCTTTCCAACAGCCATCGGGGCGGAATCGGAATCGGAATCCAGCACGCTCGAGCCGCAGGTGCACGGGCAGTCGCAGGCCTTCAAGCTCGCCGGCTGCTTGGCGGAGGGGGAGGAGGAGGAGGGGGGCTTCTTCGATTTCGAGGAGACGACGGAGAGGAGGAGGAAGGCGAAGGCGAGGAGCAAGCAGAGGGCGGTGGCGACGGCGGCGGCTACGAGGCGAGGACCGGATGCGAGGTAATCGGTGGCGAAGCTGGGCTGTATCTCCATTCACAAGACATGAAAGCCGCAGAGAACATGAAAAGGAGAGAAAAAAAAAACCCTAGAACGGAGAGATTGGACCGGCTCGGAACGACGAGCGCAAGCGTCGCGAGAGATCTTTCGACAGGAGGCGGCGGAGGAGGAGGAGGAGGAGGAGGAGGGTTTCGTTGCTCCGGCGAGGGTTCCGGCTGAGCAGCCTAGAGCGATTCAAGCGGCGGACGGCCGGAGTTCGCCGGCGACGTCGCGGAGGAAGGAGGAGGAGGAGGAGGAGGAGGAGAGAGAAGAGGGAGAGAGAGAGATCGGCGACATTAGAGAGTTCTTCTTCGTCGAGCCGCAAACTGACTTGGGAAGAGAAACCCGAACGGGTGCCCGCCTGGTCAAAACCGTAATTTACCGCGAAAGAGGAGAGTAATTTCTGTGATTTTTTGACCCAAAAAAGGAAAATAATTTCTGTGATTGCATTTTTTTTTGACAAAAAAAATGTGACCGATAAAATAATGAGTTAATACCACGAAAAATCTTAAATTAGTACACTCGTGATAAATTTACTCTAAACTAATTTTTTTATCATAAAAAACCCCAAAATGGTATATCTGTAACAAATTTACCCAAAATTAATTTTTTGACCACTAAAAATTCCGAACTAGTACATTACTGATAAATTTACCCTTCTTTAGTTTCCGTTAAATTAGATTAATATCACAAAAAATCATAAACTGCTAAACAAAGAGAGGCTAAAACATAAAACTGGTACATTAGTCAACTGTCGCGTGTCATTTAATAAAGTAATTTGACAGTAAAATTTAACGGAAATAAACTGAGGTAAATTTGTCACAGGTGTACTAGTTTGAGATTTTTTAGTAAATTTGTCACAGGTGTACCAGTTTAGGATTTTTCGTGGTATTAACCCTAAAATAATTTAGCAAGGTAGAGAACAAAAAGAGATTTTTATCTTTCTTGGCTCCCAAGAGAAAATGGTATATAAAATTGGCCATATCGGCCGAGTCGAAGATTTAGAAAGAAACACAAATGCGACGACGGCATTGCTTGCCTCTTAAGGATTCATACTGGACATTTAACTCATTATTCAATAGATTCCTAAAAGAAGATACATAATTTTGTCGATATTTTAAGGTAAGAGATCAGATCGGAAGTATATTTCCATTAATCGAAATACTCCAAGAAAATCGGAGAAGAGTGTAAATAGACTCTCAACTCGGAACAACCCTTCGAGTGTAGGCGGATACCAATACACCTCGTAGAAATGCTCGGACTCGTTCTCAAATAAATAAAGCAAACACTTAGTAAATGGAGCATAACTTCTTTCACAAGACTCCAAATAGCGCGAAACTTAACCAATAAGAAATTAGAGGCATATAACTTTTCTAACCATGTACGGTGGGACTTAATTAACAAGAAATTAATTAACAAGAAATTAAACACGAACTCCTTCATCTAAAGGTAAAAAGAAAAGAGTGACTTCAACAGGATTGAACTCATCCTCTCCCCACCAAGCAATTTGATGTTAACAGGTCGTTCGTTTCGCGAAAAATGAATAATCTGAAAAATATTTTCCAAAAAATGATCGCTTATATCGATTAGAAAAATAAATGAATAGAAATTTTTTTCATTACCCACGAAAATAATTAGATGTAAATTGTTATCAATGATAAAAATATATTCTGTTGACTAATTTTTCTAAACCATATAAACAATCATTTTTCAGAAAATATTTTATAAATAACTTATTTTCCCCTAAACGAACGCACCGTAAGTGTTGAAACACGTGATAATCAATGTTATCGAGTTGATTTATAAGTGGTATGTGGTTTAATGGGACTAAATCCACCAAAATTTTCAAGATTTTTATGGTACGAACGAGCCATGATTTTGGGTTTATAGAGTTCCATAGTTCACACTTTACATTAATATTGATTTTCCTAATCAATTTAGAGCTTTTTTTCCTGATTTTTATCAAGGTTTCTTTTAATTATGCTACTAAGGTCCACAAATTGAGCCATCTTCCTTGTAAATCCTTGATCAAGTCAACTGCTATAGTTTCCAATGTATGGCAGCATTAGTAAATGGTCATGCTGTTCTCATGGAGTCAGAATCTCATCAACATGGAAGCAAAAGGATTAGCAAAGAGTTTCCCTACAAAACCGTTCTGAGAACGAGAGCTTGTAATTACATGGGGAAAGAAATCCTATCCAGAGCTAAAAGAAGTCAGGGACTAGCTATAGAATAAGGGGATGCACATTGTCGTGCTGCTGCTAAGTAATATCAGGAGCCACCCTCGACTCGCGTGGACTGCTCTGTCAGGTCGAGAGGCTCGAAAAATTAGGGAGGGACGTGTTGAAACTAGCTTGAAAAGCGCGCAGCAGAAGAAGAAAAAGCTCACTGCCAGCACGGCGAGCTCCTTGTTCTTCAGACTCGCCTGATCTCTCGCGACCTTCTGGATGTCCGATCTGAAATGCCATCAGTGAAAGGATCAATGAAGTGAGGAGGGGACTTTGATGGATAACATTGTGGAGACTCTGACAAAACATGGTGACAATATTTAAGGAGATAAGGGGTGATGCTAGACAGGAAAGTTGGGAGAAAGAAGAGAAATAACGATACAGAGACAACGGGAAAAAAATCAAAAGAACTCACGAAAACGGGAAATTCGGGCGATAGAAACTGTGGTGGAAGTTAGAATCAAGGTGAAGGCGAAGATGGAGAGTATAGAAAGTGAAACATTGCTTCAATTCATAGGGCACATCTACATAGAAAATCAAAAGCAGGATTTTAAACACACTTCTAAGTCAATGAAAGAGGGACATGTATTCTTCTTTGCAAGGCAAAGAATATAGAACAGGTTACACTTGATAATCTTATGATGATCTAGCATGGTTAGATGAGACAGTGTCTCTGCAAGTACTAGGGAGAAGTGAAAAGGCAAATGGACTAGTCACAGTAGATGGCTCTAATCAGTCCATACGCAAGTTAGTCCTAAAAAACAGTCGGGTCAGTTTTCTTTCCTCGACGCAGTATAAGTTTTGCTTACTGCTAAACAAAGCAAGCCAAAGAAGAGACTCAAGCAAAATTCACAAGAAGTCTAACCTCAACAGGGTGTTTTCTTTACCGAGTACATCCACTTGTGATGAGACAACAGACTTCCATAACACAAGATCGTTATATCCTTTTTCCTGAAGGAAGCCAAGTGTCAGACAAATAAGGTGATCGAGAGAGAGAGAGAGAGAGAGAGAAAAGAGAGAGAGAGAGAGAGAGAGAGAGAGAGAGAGAGTAGCTAGGGACAGATAAGCTATACCGTAAGTTCCTTCCACTCCATGAGATCTCGAATCTCTAATTTTCTTTTCTCCACGAGGACCAACATCGTAGATACCTGTTTCTCGAGTTCGGGGAACATGTCCCCTTGCCGTCGGTTCAATTCTTTGATATACTCCTCCAACACCGCCAAGTTCTGCTCAAGAGACCGAACTTTCTGCATCAGGATTTTAAGAACAGTGTCACCAGGAATTCTGCCATTTAGCATTTGCCTCACTTCCTCAATGGGATCAGGAACCTTTCTTGTAATGTCAGGATCAGTCGCCTCATGAGCTTTTGCATTTTGTGCTTGATCAACAGCTTCGGTTGCCATAGTGGCTGTCTCAACCGTATTTTGACTTCTATTGCTGCAATTAAGTTCCACAGGAACTGACTCATGTCTTGGCAGGTGTGTTGCCGTCACGTTAGGCTTTGCAAGATCAACTTGAGAAGGTTCGTTAGAAGGCACAAAGAGATCTTCAAGCATCCGCTCTATTGCATCGATTCCATAAACCTCCATAACGCTTAGTGTGCAATAGAACTTTGATCCGTAATGACTAAGCAAATTCAATTTCAAGTACCTCAACCATTTCGGCTCGGGCAGCTTGAAGGTTTGAATATGCTTCACATTTTTGGCAACAAACTTGCCCAGTGGGGCCCATGTTTGCGTAGGGTAACTCAAACTTCCAGACAACTCGAATTCCTTAAAATTGGAAGAGTAGTGCTCAAAGTTTGCGATTTTGACTGCGTCAACCAGAGTTTCCTCTGCAAGCTCAATCACGACAAACTTCTCTTCGATAGAACAAGGGTTTCTCAAGTACTTGTCATGGTCTTTTCCGAGTATGTTCGTTGCTCCTTTCGCTTCTTTGTTATAAGCAAGAACCTGGGCTCCCTTTGATGCAGACGCATAATTATACTCAGTTCCATCCGGTTCAAGCCGGTGTGTAATGTTGACAAGCCAAGTAGGTATTCCCAACACTTTTTCTTGCCTTCTCGAGTTTCGAAAATCATCGAAATTGAGATAAGAAGGCTGATTACCTCTCGAATTCAGCTGTTCTGGTGCTTTTCTTCGTTCTTCTTTTTGTATTTTACACAACGGAGCAGCATAACCTAATAAGTGCCAAAGGGCTTCTTCATTGACATTGATCTTCGGAAGAGGATGCTCAAAATCTCTAAGTTCTCGACGAACATTTGACCTGTCGCGAGCAGTACAACTTCTGGATTCCGAACTCAACTGATTTGCACCGGTATTGCTACCAGTGCCAACAAAATTTGCATGTTCGCAAAGCTCACTGTCCCTGCAGACACCTGAAAAGGGCTTGCGTCAATTAACTGCAGGACAAATACAATTAAACAACAACAATTTAACACCCGGCCTGAAAGGAGACAGTAGATTACCATAAATTTATCGACACTGCAATTCTTATGATGTTTCAACCAAGTCCTGTTCGACCAAAAAAATAAAGTACCGAGTCCAGAAAGTTGGTTATTGTAAGGACGAATTTATTTCCAAAAGTTCATCCCGCCCCAGAAACAATGGGCCTCCAATGCACTGGCAACTATCATTACTCACCACCAGCAGGAAAGAGCAGACCAAATCTTGAGAACAAACGGGCATCAAATATGGAAATCTGAATGTGTTGTTAAGCGGTAAAATTCAAGGAAAAATTAGATAAATGAAGAAAGAAAGCTTCTTTTTTGCACTATTGCATTCAAAATTAGAAAGAACCGATCTTGACTGATTCCCATCAAATGGCATATGCACAAAACTGATCGAACTCAAGCAACTACCTCACACACGAGCTAGATGCAACTCAACAGAAAGCACAGCTAAGAGAAAGGAGCGAACTTTACTACAGAAACCGGGCAAATTCTTCACCTTCAGTCCCATGGCTCAGCCTCGAGCGGGAAAAGAAGACGAAGCACCAGACCCAGAAGATCAAAGACGTCCAGAAGAGCTCCCGGAGCCTCCTCCTTCCGCCATTGCACCCAGAGTTGCCACTTTCGTTTCGGGTCTCGTCGCTGTCGCGCTCGATGTGGCTGGACATTGTCATGGCTCATTGGGCGAGCGTCCGAGGGAGGGAAGGACAGGGTCGAGGAGAGTAATTGTGCATGTGGGGGTTCTCTTCTGTTCCTTCTGATCACGCGGATGGAAAGCAACGGCAATTGTTCTGGATTTCCTCAGGAATAGGGAGGGAGAACGACGAGCTATTTTTGGGGTTTGGTTAGTGAATCACGAGCATTTTCCATTGGTCGAGTCTTGGCATTTAGTCAGTTCGTTTATTTGGCCCATGTGACTCATGTGTCAATTTTTGGGAACCAGTGCTCGCGGAAACGAGCTTATTGAATGTTTGGTTTGAAGGAATGGGGGCATTCCAATGATGGGTACATGAGTAAGCTGTGAAATGCCATTCTACCAGGCAGGTTGAGTAGGTTGGAACCAGCCTGAGATGGAATGCTCCATTAGAGAAAATGCCCGATTTTCTTCTGTTAAGCATCGTCTGATTTCATGAAAGGCTTTGCTTGTTTCGTAAAAAATCTTTTCCGGGAAAACTTTTTCTTCATTCTTCAATGTTTGAATCACTTAGGAAAATGAGCCAACAGAAAACGTTTTCCAAATTAACGGAAAATCTATGCTTAAATTCAGAAAAATTTTCTTCTTGAAAAATCAAGAATCATTTTCTAAAATATGACTGAATATCGGTTCTTGAGCACGAGAGCCCTTACCCTCATTCCTGGGTCCCCGGCGCCTTGGCTCAAGACCTTTGTGCTCATGCCTGGGTCTTCGGTGCCCAAACCCAAGTCCATTGAGGCCAAGCCCAAGACCTGGTACTTGTGCCCAGGTCCCCAGGCTCGAGACCCCAGTGCCAATGCCTGGATTTCTCGTACTTGGGTCCATCATGGTTGGGCCGAGGACCCCGGTGCTAGTGCTCGGGTCCTCGGCCCATGTCCATTGATGTCATGCCCGGGTCTTAGCGACCAAGGGTCCTAGGCCAGCCCTGATGGATTGAGTTTGGTAATCGAGGACTCGAGCCTAGTTGTCAGGGACTCGAGCATGACCACCAGCGTCTTCTGGTCAGCTTTGATGGACCAGGGCTTGAGTGTCGAGGTCCGGAGCTCGAGCGCCGAGGACCTGGGTCATCGGGGTCCTACACTCGGCCTTGTGGACCCGGGCTCGGGTGCCGGGGATCTGAGCACAGGCACCGAACCCGGCCTCTGTGGACCCAGGCACCAAGAAGTTGTGCACGGGTATTGGGTTCTTAGTTTCCGCTTCTATGAATGCGGGATCGTTGACGGTGAAATTCGGCGATTAGGGACTAGTGATTGACGATTGGCAACACGGTCTGACAATCGGCGGGAGTTTGTTAGCGATGACCGTCACCGCCGACCAATGGCAAAGTCTACTGCTAGTGCTCGGTGGCAGCGGGGGCAACAGCAGCTCTCGGCTGTGCAATTGAGTTTTTGATAGTTTTTTGGTTATCAAAATATTGAGAATGGGTACCAATATTGGAAATTGTACAATTTCCAATACGCGAACTTGTGTCGTGCATTGGACCACAAAAAAAAAAAAAAACCTGTGTTGTGCTATGCATAATTGATGCTTAAAAAGTTGAATAATGTTAAGTATATGCTTCATAAGTGTAACATCCCTGGATTAATTCACTCGAGGTATTGTTTACTTTGACCTATTTTATACCGAACCTCACGATTTTCTCCTTTGGCGCACAGGCAAGCACTTTCCAAGCGATCACCCATCATAATAGTGCTCAGCAAACCTTGCCGTTACGTTAAAAAGCACATCCGTGAGTTAATTTCAATTTTCACACACACAAATATATATATCCCAAAATAGCTTTTCTCATGTTCGGTGCACAATTTGGTGCACTCCTGCCCCCTTCGCCATACTAAAAGCCTATCAGGAAATTTATCAGGAGCCGCTCCTTGTCCAGGCTCTCTAGCCACGACAATCACTCCCCACCCTCGTCTGGCCAAGTCATTACAATAAGTATCCTAAGAACACTCATTAACATGTTAAATATGGTTAGCAAGTTAGTTAACATGATCCTAACTGTTCATCATTGTTAAGAGTTCTTTTTTCTTTTTCCTACCTTGGGAAAATGAATAGAATATCTAACTGTGCAACAAATATAAACCAGCAAATTGGTCACCTTCAAGATATAAATTACTACCATTGACAGTTGCTATTATCTCGCCAGCAACAACTGTTGTGGGCATCTTTGAGCGAACATCTTAGCACCTCGCTAAGTACTCCCGAAGGCCTGTGCTTCCAATGCCTCTCAACCAAAAATAAAAAATTGTAACAACTTAGGTAGCTCAATTTCATATATCGAACATCGATATTCATTGGTTGCAGCACATGATAAAAACTCGGTTTCTTAGGCGTAAAATTGGGTCACCGTCATTTTCAGCCCTACCTCCAACAATGGAAGAGCTGCCTTGACTGATAAGGATTTGACTCTCCTGATACATCATCATCCAGCTGTCTATATGTACAATCCTGGACAAAGAAACATGCTAAAATAGAGAATAGTTGGGAAAGAACTTCCAAGTTGGGCAGGGAGTGATATTGAAATTGTGAAAGAATAAGGAAGACGAACACAGTTACTACAACGGATCAGTTTTTCCCCGCTGTTGAGATGCCTCGACGTATTGCTCCGCAAGTCTCTTCACCTTCTCACCTTCTTTAATGAGGAAGTTGGCATTTTTAGCTTTGCAATGGTATTTCATAACCTTCTCTACAGATTTTGCAACGGCCCAACGATACTGTTCAATTGAGATTACACCGCTCTTGCATAGTGGCCTTATGTGTTCCTTGATGTATGCTTCCACCTGCGCAAAATCAAAACGACCGAATTTTGAACGAGAATTTCCCACATAAAAAGAGGAAAATAGGAAGCTTGGACAATCCACATACTAAAAGTAACATCAGATTAATTTCTTGCGAGCTAAAGTTTTTCAGCAATCGTAGATTTTTATGTCTTTATATCACGCTACAACAAATGAGAGAAGAAAGTCAAATGTGACCTAAAACAGTCTTCCAAAGATATAGGGACGGCTAACCTAAAATGCTGTTGCTTTCTTATGTTGATACAGCCAATCTCATTATAATGAGATGGTTTCCATACATTGATACTTCAAATAGTATTTTGGTTGTTCCCAAACCTTTAATCGTGGGATGGAAACCTCAAACCTTATGTCACGCAAGTATAGAATAGGAGGAACAAGAAACATGAATCACATTAGGTACCAACCTTTCTCTTTATGGATTCGGCGTGATCAGACCGCTCTTTGTCATGTTTCTCCCTGTCTTCTTGCTCCAATTTACTGTCTTGAGAAACACTACTAGATTTTTTTTCACCAGAAGCCTTGTGATGCGTGGTGACTCCAGCTGGTTGTTCTCCCTCCTGGCTTGGCTCGCAAGTCTTAACATCTCCAGGAACTCCTATTCCATTTTGAGATTCTGTATCAGTCAGATCACACTCCGTCCCTCCTATTCCGGCAGAAAGTTTGTTCATAAAGGGTTCTCTATCTGGACCATATAATTCTTCACATTCTCGTACTGAAGGCTGATCCCCGACACGATCACATGACAATTTATGAGAATCACTAGGTTCATTGCCCACATCCTCCACAGGAGATGTTCTGATGCTCGCCCATTCACAACACTTGGACGAGGGAACCTCAGCAGGTTTGGAATCAAGAGCATGATCCAAATTTTCAGAACTTGAAGACGGAAAAACCCCTTTCATTTTAGATAAACCTTCTTCTTCTTCTGGTTGCTCAGAGACTTTCATCGAACCATTGCCAACATAATCTTTATCCCCCAGGTTATGCTCAAACTCACCATAAATATCTATTCCAGATTCACGACCCGCTTGGGTAACATTATCACACACTTCTTCTCCAGCTTCTGCAGAGGGATCCTTTTCCTCACCCGGGACCCCAAGAGTAAGACTTGGAGTATTTGGAGGAGAATCTGACAGAAGACCAGCAGCTCTTAATGCTACTTCAACCTCTGGGTCGGAGCGTTCTTCCATGCCTTGCTCTGGTTTTTCAGTAGGCACAGCTAATGGAGACAGGGGAGTGGGTTCAATTGTTCCAGAGGACTTGCTATTTTCTGTACAGTGCATTATCTCTTGAGAACAGAGATTTAAATAGACAAGTTTACTGTTTGACCGATTTGCGACTTCCCTTTCAATATTGATGGCATCTGCAACAGCCAACTCCGTCTCTGCAGTTCTACATATTGTTTGCAAATTTGCATATCTCAAGAAGTGCTCGGTCAAACGATACAACTGTTTCTGCAGAGTAACCATTTATGAGATGTAAAAGCTGGACAACCTCCAGAATCATGTTTAAAAGTATACAAAATAACACAACCTTCATGATTATATTAGGAAAGCAATTTTGAACCACTTTGAACATTTGCCGATGAATGAATGCATCTCTCGAGCAATTTTTCTCCATTGGGGATGTAAGTTCTTCGAAAGTTGAATGTCACTCTTATCATATATTAAAGAAAAAAATTAAAACGACTAATCAGTATTCGTTGAATTTTACATTTTAAGAAGAAACAGTCAAATATAGATTTCTTTTTGTGGTTCTATTCCTTCAGTGGTTTACATAATCATGAGGGAGGTTGAGCTCAAATTCTCACCATTGACCACACAGCTTAATCTCTTAAATATGACAGAACATGTGAGAGATTATCTCTATATAGGGCACACTCATAATAGGATGTAACTATCCAACATGGAACTGTTATTCTGTCCATCCTTAAATAGAGAGCTTCAATACTTTGTTCTCTGAATGTTTGAATCACATATGGTGGCAGAACCTTGAGTAAGGGCAAAGAGTCGGTGCCGCTGTGGTTTGGTCTAGGGACGAAGGTAATAAAAGATTTCCAAATCCAAATCCTTTCTCTTCTTATCCACATTTTCACAGAAGAAAATTAACAAAAAACAGAATGATCCATATGTTTATGTCTAGTCTCTCTATGAAGACAGCATTAGGCAGGTCATACCTGTCTTACTGATTTAGGAACTTTGTTATGGTGAGTAGAAGCCAAGACTGGTCTCATGTCTTTTGGTAGTTGAGCCTGCTCAATACAAAGAAATGACTCAATAATCAGTCGCATATATGCAAAGACAGTACAACTTAGCATAATCTCTAGAAGGTTGTACGCACCAACAGTGGGAAATTTCCTTTAAGTATGGCATTGTCTTCATGTTCATCAGAAGTAGCACCTTTACCTGCAGAAGCAGTTTTCCTAGCAAGAATCTCCAGGGCCCACTTTCTTTTATCCCTCTTCAAATCATCCGATTTACTAACCATGTCATTCCCTCTACCACAATTTGAAGCATTGTGTTTTGAGCTTGGCACTTTCATACCATGTTTAGCAGAAGAACCTGAATTATATGTATCCTTATTAGGTTCTGCCGATTTCAGAGCATGATCCACAGTCTTCCCCCCAGGGATAATTTGCTCCTTTTTCTGCTCAGAATCGACTTCAAGATAAGATAGAGGCTTTATGTCATCCTTTCGAGGTAACACAGAAGTATCTGCTAAATACAACCTAGAAAGGATAGAATCTGTAGAGGGCTGATCAGGTTCCTGCATAATCTCCAAATTTGTTGAATTCCCTTTAAGGAGATCAAGGACTGACTTCAAGGTCTCAATCTTTTCAGGCTTTGCTGCTCTCATGCAACGATACTTCCAAAATTCGACCTCACAATCACGGTCCCATGCACGTTTTCTTCTTCCATTAGATGTTCCATATATTTTCTTTGTCAAACTTTCGCGTACTTTCCCCTTCTGCAACAGTGACTTCTTCGCCTTGACAGACAAAGGTGATAACTTTTTAACAGGTTCAACTCTAGGTCCGGCAATCACAGATCTAAAGGCAGCTAGAAGTTTAGTATCAAAAAGATTTTCCTCAAGAGCTTTGGAGGATTTATTTCGAACAGCTTCTCTTATTTCTTTTCTTAGATTCTGGACCAAGATTGATGATTCCTCGTCCTTACCAGCTGTCCTCATGATCTTCTTAATCCTCAAACCACCTGCATTTTCTCCTCTTGATGAAGGTTTATCTGTGGTAGAGGACTTTTGTCCTGTTCCCTTAACTATATTCATTATATCTGGAGGTGTTTCTCGATTATTACTCAACTCATCTGCTACATCAGCCAGGATGGCGCACTCTTTAGTATCATCAGAAACTAATGTGTCAGTCTGGTCCTTGAAGCAACCAACTTCAACCTTCTCTTCCACCCTCCTTTTCTTTGGGACAACTTCAGTCTTTATCTCAGCTTTAGGTGCCGCAGTATCACTGGTCACATGCATGGCAACAACAAAAAGATAGTGCCCAAATAATACAGAAAAGTAACTTGAATTTAGAATCTCCACAACGATTATCTCTTAGGTAATGATATCGATAACTGACATGCACATAACAAACAAAGTACCCAGTTATGCATTCCTACAACTTTCTAATGGTGATTTACAATAATAGTACCACTCCCTAAAGTCATAACGCAGAACCACAATGGAGAATTTAAAATGACAATTTGACTAAAGATAAACTGATCGGATTATTTGTCCTCTTAAAGAAAATTTAAGTACAGATACATAAGGCTCTCCCTATACCAAGAAAAGTTTTTTTTCCCATTACATAACTGCGATATAATAAATAATTTGTCAGCAAGTAGCCGTGTTAGTGAAAGGAAGGACAACACATTACAAATAATGGACAGTTGAATGGAGAATTTAACAGAGACAGAGAGAGAGAGAGAGAGAGAGAGAGAGAGAGAGAGAGAGAGAGAGAGAGAGAGAGAGATGGACCCTGGACAGGATTGAAAAATAAATAGCATCATAAGAAAATGAGCGCCAAATGCCAATTAGAACAATACAGATATTTGTCGGAAATTACCAGGAATTTGTATGCTTTCTCTTTGCACCAGTCTGTATTGCAGGAACTCTTTCAGCAACAGGTGCAGTATTATATGCTGAAAACAAATCAGTAATGAGAAACTCTAAAAACAATCCTCAAAAGCCCTAAAGGAGACAAACTTTCCATACCATCTAAGGCAGAATCTTCCATAAGAGTTGTCTGGGAAACATCTTGACTAGTTTGATTATTAGTTGCACCCTCCGTTTCAATCTTTGTCTCATCAGTGTCTTGCCCTAAAAGCAGAGAAAGAGAGAAAAGGGACATTGATTGTACTTCTACTCGTGAAATTACCAGGTGAGAAAGAGCCAATAGATAGAACAAGGTGAAAACCAATACTAGACTTACATTCAGATGTTTTCATTCCAAGGTGGGATTCGCTAAACAACTTCCCAATAACATCTTGAGGGCCACCAGTACTCGGTTCATTAGCTGCATTCTCATCATTGTTAGGCTTCAATTCACTGAAACTAAAGGAAGTGGGGGGCATAACTGAGAAGGTATCCTGTGATAAGGACAGGGCCACATTTTGTGTAGCTGATTCTGGATCAGTAGCTCTATTTTCCACTGTTTCAGTTTCCAACTTTCTGATATTGGCATCAGAAACTAATACCATGCTTTCCGTTTTTATGGCCTCATCAACTTCAATATTCAATGGACTCTCACTTGGCATTTCAATCTGCAGATCTCTCGGAACCATGGAAACAACTATAGCTGTCTCTCCAGCATCAGCAACAGCTACAGACACCTTCCCACACAAGGCGTCCTCAACCATATAATCACAACTGACATTTCCAGGGCACCACAGGTTGCCAGACTCTTGTAATGAAGCTAAACTTGGAGCATTCTGCATTTGATGAGCCACACATCTGCAGATAAACCCCAATTGAATAGTAAATATAAGTGGTGGAAGGAAATTAGGTTTATATGGCAAATTGGTCAGGTAACTAAGTATACTACCAATGCACTTTGAACATCTTCAAGGGTTGGAAGGATAGAATACAAAGGCAACTCTAGGTTCTATCTAGAGCAGTATCTATGTTCAAGAGTATACTGCCAGGGTCATGTAGCTTTAAGAAGATGTTAAAATCGCTCGCCAACCCATGCTTCTCAGCCCGACAAATTTCCAAGAGCGTACAAATTCTCAAAAAAATTGCATCAACAGGATATGAAACTTACAGTTCTTACCAAAGTACTCTGCTTGGACAATTCATTGTGAAATAGCCACTACAACTTTCTATTACTTAGCAAACAAACAAAAATATGCAATACAAGATGAACACTAGGTGACATTCTATTAAATTGCACCTGGGAACCAAAATCATCACTGCAGATGAAGCAAAGTGACATATGCACTATGATCGAGGAGGTGAAAACAACTCTTGCACAAACCTGGGGCATAACCATGTATTCTCTGATGTGCCCTCGGGATCAAATCCTACACAGGAAGCATGATACCTATTTTGATGCAAGTCGAAGATATAGTTAGTAACGGACAATGTAATAAATCAAAGGAAAATTGTGCTCTAAGAAAACAAATGAAGAAACAAAATAACAAGGGGAAAAATCCAGAATCGATCAAACATGCATGTCAATTTCTAGAAGACAATCATTTGCTGTAAGGTATTTCATACTTAAGAAATTATACTACGCCCTAGACTACAACAGCTTCTAATCTGATTCTCTCTCTTCAGTTAATTAAGGATGTGCCATGAAATGCAAAGCATACATCATTGTCAAAATTAAGACAACCTCAGCAAAAGCCAAATTGGATATAATGTATATTAAACCCGTTATAGAGAGAATGGAGACCTCCCTATTAAACTGTTGAAAGTTATGCAACTATCAGATAAGCAATCTAGTATAAGCATAAACCAATTTGTATTTACAAATTAAACAGGTCAGGTTTATTTCCTTTACCATGTGTCACATATATCGCAAGCAATCGACGTATCGAGATGAGAATCACACTCAGCACTTGCTGATCCACTGCGAACTTTGCAGCCATCTCCATCCAAGCAGACAACTGCCTAGAAAAATGCCATTTTCATAAGGATGAATTATGAGAGGATACAAATGCAAACCAAAGACAAATTTAAGACGTGAAACTCCAGCTTGTGACTATTTAAACGATCTCCACTCTAATATCTTTACATTGTGATCGTGCTAATGCAAAAGGTCAAATTCTTGGGTACGATAGGAATCATTCAACTTCCCGAGGGGGAAGAGGAAGGTAGGACACAATTCCAAGACCCCTGGCCCAGTACGGATACGCCAATCCCCTTTTTAAGTTCTGCTACTCTATTTGTAACATACATAAATCGACCATAGAGGTGTCATTGTTCTCTTTAACAGGTTAATAAACATTTCGAAGCCTATAAAGGAAGAAATGTCGAGCCAAAATCATGAAATTATTCCACATAAAAGATAATTACATTTTCATCGATGTAGTATGATGGAAAAGACAGAGTATTATTCTTCCCTTCAACGCACCAATCATCTTCCCTGCATTATTGAAATAGGAAGAGACAAGAAAAATAGCACATTAGTTGTTGCCCCATTATCTTTGATTAAGAAAAGATTCCGAAGGATTTACTCGAATTTTTTTTTTTTGGTAAGGATTTACTCGAATATTTTTTTTTTTGGTAAGGGATTTACTCGAATTTTAATCATCAGTATTTTCAAAAAAATTATCTTTCTCTAGTAACAGAATGATGAATGATGAAATGAAAAACTGCAATCATATGGAACATTACAGTGACCAGTCAGGTTCTCACTAAAATACTTGTGCAGAGAGAAGACATATTAAAGTACCTTGAGACTGGCTCCTCTTCAAACTTGCTGCTTCCAATAGTATCATATACCTTCAGGTACAAGTAAAGCCAGTATTTAATCTTATATTATACATGATCTTTGAAAAAAAGTCCCAATGGTCTAGCCAAATATTTTAAACAAAATGTTGAGATGGAGAGTGAGGAGAAAATGCAAAATAATATAGTGTAGCATAGATTGGAAAAAAGAATAGGCTATAGTCCGATGATTCAGTGTCACTCACAGGAACACAAGTGATCAACAAAAATTCACTTTGGCAAAGCGGACACAGGTTGGTGATGGTGGCCCAATTGTCAATGCATGTAAAGCAGAACCTGAAAATCCAACAGATTCATGTCAAACTCAAAACAGTATTGCATTGAAGAACATACATAAAAATAAAAGATTGAAGATGCTTAAGAATGAGCTCATTCCTATGTCCACATATGTGAGTCAAATAGTAAGCGTAACATGATAAGCAAGATGGCTGTAATGGCAATGCCTCAGTGGAATAGCAACAGTTCTAATCGTTCTACCATGTTTGTTCCTTCCTCATCCAACAAACAGGTTTATTAAGATGCAAAAGAGCATTGTGAAGAAGTGTACCAGTGCTGGCAGCAGTCTAAGACCCCTCTGTCGATGATAAGATCCATGCATAGCCCACATCTCTCGCCCCCAAAATTAGCAGCGTCCTGCATGTACAAAAAATTATAAAACTACTCAGTTACAGAAACATCAAAGCAACACAAGGCTAACCTCGATTCTTTACCTATGCGAACATATGTCAAGCAGGAAGCAAAGATTCCGTAAAGTTCATGTATTTGACAAGGATGATTTAAACACAAGTAGAATTGGATATATCAAGCCTTAAATTCGTCGACAAGATCCTCTGTTAAGTTCCAGAAAGCAATGGAAGAATCAAACTTCACACATCAAAGGAGAAATAGCCATTACTCCTCATAGTCTCTTCCTTGACCTTACACTCTCAAGGCTATTCCAATTCTCCCAAATTTCATCCAGAACTAAATTTCCAAAACCATGGTAATGGAAAAAACTCTCGAGAAAGTAAATTCCTCGAAGAAAAGCAGCATTCATTCGCACAACCTCGAGAATTTCACATTCCAAAAGAGATAATTCATTGCCACCACCAGACCAAACCGCGAAGCAGCCCAGAAGAGACCATTTTCCTCGACTCAACCGATTAACCGAAGAAGACCCTCTGTTCCGACCAAACCACGTCACACGAAGCAACAAAACTTACAGCAATGTGGTCAGCTTCGAGAATCTCCTCGTCCGACATAGCCGGCTCCACCAAACCCAGCTCCATATCGTCGAACAACGGCATGACCGCAGGCAAAAAAGATCAACGCCTCGAAGGCTTGCGGACGATGCCGAGGCGATCGTTCGAATCGGAAACGAGGTTGCGGCGGAGGAAATTCATGGGATTCAGCTCCGGCGACGAATTGCTCCGAAGCCGATGGCGACGATCCGAAGCGGAGAAAAGCTTGGAACTTGGGAAGATTTGCGAGGTCAAGCTCCGGAGAATCGCGTCAGACGATCGCTGCAAGTGGAGATGGCAGTGGAAGAGAGAAAGAAGGAAGGAAGGAAGGAAGGGTCGGAAGGAGAAGGTGGCTTTGCGCGAAACGAATTTCGTCGCCTGAAAAGGTAGGGCCAAAACGAAGGAGAAAAAAGAAAGAAACTCCTTTTTTCAATTTTCTTTTCTTTTCTTTTTAATTTCCTCCTTTATGTAGCTGTAATAAAATTGCAAAATACAGAAGAAAAGGTTATTTTCAAATTCACGACTTATGATGGTTCAGCTAACAAAAATAAATATAGGTTTACGTATGACGACTTTCCCTTTGAATTTAAAAATAAAAATATATATATATATTGTTTCAAAATTAAAAAGATTATTAAAAGTTTCAAATATTTCAAATTAAATAAGAGTTTATATGAGAATTCCCAAAAATCTAGAAAAAGCTAAAATGTAAAAGTAAATGTCTCATGTGATATTTATTGTTTACTCTTTGCAATATTATGACTTCATAATATGCCTTTTTTCTTAATGGAAAATGATTAGGATAAATTGTTTTAGGGAAAATTTCAAATCAGTACCCAAAGTAGGGTCATTTTCTTAAAAAGGGGTCCAAAATGGATATAGTACTAAAAAAGGGCCTGAAATGCCCAATCAGTCTTAAATAAGAGCCTGAAGTGCCTAATTAATCTTAAGTAAGGGTATGGGTTCGTTGGCCAATCAAATGCTCGCCGGCTGGCAAGCACGTCACTATTCCAGCGATCGGAACGAGGGAAATTTCGTCTTTTACTTTTTAAATTTTTTTTTGTTTCTTTTTTCCTTTTTTCCTTTTTTTCTTTTCCTTTTCCTTTTCTTCTTCTTTTTTTTTCCTCTTTCCCTCCGCCGGCCATAGCCGAGGCCGGCGAGCGTCAGGCGAGGGCAGCCTCCGCTCGAGGCCGGCAACCTCCGCCTGCCTCGGCTATGGCCGGCGGAGGGAAAAGAGGAAAAAAAAAAGAAGAAAAGGAAAAGGAAAAGAAAAAAACAGAAAAAGGAAAAAAGAAACAAAAAAAAATTAAAAAGTAAAAAACAAAATTGCCCTTGTTCCGATCACTGGAAGAATGACGTGCTTGCCGGCCGGCGAGCGTTTGACCCACCGTCGAGCATTTGACCGGTTGGCGAACTCAAGCCCTTACTTGAGACTAGGGGTGTCAATGGGTCGGGTCGGGTCGGATTTTCGTGATACTCGACCCGACCAAAATATTGGACATATGTGTTCGACCCGGCCCGAAACAAAACCTGAACAAGATAAAGCTCCATGATCGGGCCGGGTCATGTTGGGTTTGGTCGGGTCGAGTTTTGTGTTTCAAACAATGAATTCAGAGATAGAGATAGCGAGAGAGACGCCATTATTGCGGATCCCGAATTCATCATCTTCCCAGCAACACCCTGTGCATCACCGCCCCGGCCTCAGCGATTCAACCGCCGCCGCGCCATCACCGCCTTTTGCGCCGCCGTCCCGGCATTGTTCTTGCCCTCGCCAGGAGGACTCCGCGTCGTCAACGAGCCCGCCGCCGCAGCGCGCCCGGCCTCATTGTCCGGGAACCGCTGTCGCCGCAGCGCCAGAGATTCCGCCATGAGAGCTCTTCGAGATCCGTGGAATGGCCGAGGCCCTGTCGTCGACTCCTCGGCCTCGGGACTACGCCGTCGTCGAAAGCTCGGCGACCACCCCTCCGATTTTTCTTGACAGAGTTTGTCCGTCCGTCTTCGTCGATTATCGATTCGTCTTCTCTTTTCCATTTTTCGTGTCGTTCTTTTTGGTGGGTCTCTTCGCAATGCATCAAGAGGAGTGATCTTTGAGCGAACGGTTCACGACATTTCCAGCTTCGCCTCCCATTTCTTTTTTCTTGCCTTCTCGCTTTGCTTGACCCGAAGCAATATCGCAAAGCAAATATTCTATCTCAAATTCTCTGCTTTCTTCAGATAACTCGATTACCAGATCACAGAGATCTACTTGCTTTCATCAGCTCTACTCCCTAGCATCACATTCTTCTTCTCTCCCATTGCTCTGTTTCGAGATCGAAAAACAGAGCAAGCGAGTCTCCATCGAAATGGACCGGCTCTCCGCAACTAGTCTCCTTCCCGACACGTTCGAAGGAGCAAGAGACGACATCTCCATGCAACTGTCCTTGATTTGGGCTCAGATCAAAGCGCCGCTGCTCGTCCCGATGCTCAGGATCGCGGTGGTCCTGTGCTTGGCCATGTCGTTGATCTTGTTCATCGAGAGGGTGTACATGGCCGTTGTCATCCTCCTGGTGAAGCTCTTCGTACGGAGCCGGAGAAGCGGTGCAGTGGGAGCCCATGAAGGACGACGTCGAGCCGGGCAACTCGGCCTATCCCATGGTCCTGGTCCAAATCCCAATGTACAACGAGAGAGAGGTCGGTCCCTTTCCGTCTCCCTCTACAACGACGAAGGCGCGCGTAACCCGGGAAGAAGAAGTCGGCGGGTCCTGGGAGGAGGAGAGATTTTAAGGATTTTGGTTATTGTTTGAGTTTGCTATTGTTTGGGTTGGGCTTGGGTACCCAAGCCCAATAGATCCAAACAATACCCAATTCTTTTTATTGTTACCCAAATAAGTTGAGACCCAACCCGACCCAATAAGAAAATTTTGTGTTCGGGTCGGGTCGATTCGTGTTTCGGTTCGGGTATTGTGTTTGGTTTTGACACCCCTACTTGAGACTAATTGGGCACTTTGGGGCTTTTATTTAGCACTATGTCCACTTAGGACCATTTTTTGAGAAAATGACCCCATTTTGAGTACTGATTTGAAATTTTCCCATTGTTATACAATATATAGAAATTGCACACAGGATATGACATTTTTTTTACACGGCTATATGAATTTTAATACTTTTTTACTTTCAAAATTGTAGAGGAAAAGTGATGATAAAACTTAAAAGTTGATGGGAAGAATCATCCAATCCTTTTTCTTCTTTTTCCATTTCGTAAACTCTCTCGACATCTCAAAAGTAACAAATATTAAATCAAATGAAAAGAAATAAAAAGTCAAATTAGTTGCAAAAGGTCCTAGATTCATATTTTGGTATTGTTAGATGCCGTCATTTGAGTTTTGTGCTGTTTTAACAACGCTATTTATTTCCTATACGAGTTGTTAATCACTTTATTTGCATCAGAAAATGTGATGAAAACGACTTTCTATTTGGTGAGAAAGCACCCATGGTCCCCCAATTCCTTCTTAAAGTTCTAAATTAGATCTGACTTATGCCGTAAAATGGTGGGTTTAGCGTCATGACAATTCCATGAGGGGGTTGAAGACTTTGTGTACTCACAACCACTAAAAAAAAGGTGGCATTGCTTCAAACTCCAAACTCTGTGTACTTTCCCTCGGGCGGTATATTTTGGATTGTTGATGTACACTTTAGGGATCGCTCGAGCAGTTTGACGTCTTTCCACTATTGGTGGACTAAACTCTGTCCTGAATTCAGGAGCCAAAGTTTTGGGGATACCCCACATGAAATGCAGTACTCTTTCCAGTTTTTACACCAAAAAGAAAATGTGCCATAGAACTCAATCTGGCATGTCTACAGGTCCAGATTACATTGATCTGCAGACAAACAGCTCGGCACAGGGAGAGCAAACAACCGCCTATCCAACGGCTTGTGGAAGTTCATCCACACCATGAGATACAAACGCATGTACAACTTGAAATCGTCCAACAATAGCACCAATACTAACTGTACTTGTAAACTTTGGGTTGCAGGTTCAGGTCGTGGCTCCACCATTGGTGCATACCATGCGCCCTCTTGAACCCCAGCTACGGACTTAAATTGATTGTTAGATATGCGGACGGGATGAGGTGCAAAGGCTCTGCCTGCTTCCCCATCGCGCTCATGAACAGCGATCCCTAAGAATGCTGAGTAGCTAACCTAACGATAGCTCCTACTCCGATCTCTTGCATCTTGTTTCAGTGCTCGAAATATCCAATGTATTCTGAGCAGACATGATCGTCCGCGTTGACATGCAGTTGAGGGACCCAAGCGGACAAAGCCGCAAAAGAATCGGCGGATTGATTCCTGAGTTGCGGAGCCTTCATGGCTAACGTGAGTCCGGCCGTGATCACGCTGGTGGCGAAGCGAATACCATGCTTCACTTTACTGTTCTTGATCTTCTCGATCGGGGCAGACACATAAGGCGGATTGAAGAGGAAAGACTCGAGAAAAGATCCCGTTTTGGCCATGTTCTTTCCAGCTAGCAGAGCAATGGCAGACCCCAGGGAATGACCAGCTAACCAGACCCTAGAATCGCCGGCGGTTGCAACCATGTTTCGTACCTCCTGCATGGCAGTCTCGAAGCGAGATGTGGAGTGGAGCATATGCCGGATCAAGTGAAGATCCAGCATAATATCTCGAGAGACCGATTCTTTCTTAGCCATGGTGCCTCGGAAGGCGACCACGAAATGCGGTCCATCTGCTGAGTGGTTTCCCTGAGGATGATGGAGGCTTATACTCCAAGATGGCACAGAAGATAGAAGAGTCGACATCATCTATGAGTTTGCGCAGCAACTGAAAATTGAAAAATTCCCACCAAGGAGGAGCAAGAGCCTTGGGACCTTCACGTTTCAACTGGCGGTCCCGCCTTAAGATATAGACACCTCGAACCAAACAAGCAGCAACCGACCTCCGATGATGTGCATTTTTCCTATGTTAGAAGTTCAAGAAATGTTGTTTTCGTCAATATGTTTGCTGACAAGAAACTCTGTAGCTAGACTATGCTAAATGCTGATGTCATCGTTTCACGCAAAAAGAAAAAGAAACTCGAGAGCCAAACATCAAACTTGAGAGAAGTTTAAAATGCCATATTTTCCGAAAAAGCCTCTCATGCAGTCTGAACTTGGTGCAGAACGAAAAGTTGGCACTCCGCGCATGTTGCTTCTGTCCCAAAAACTATGAACTGGATGTGTCCATGAACCAATAGAGTATTACATGGCAACCGTGGAGGACGAAGTTACAATATGTGGTGGATATGCTGGCAAATCAACACCTAGCGATAACAGCCTATGACATATAAAGGTCGCATATCTAGCAAAACTCCTCCTTTTCGGCTTAGTATCTAGCAAAACT